GGAGGAGCCAATCTGGCATTTCTCCCTGCCCCCCCGCCACTGCTGAAACCACCATTGGGGCAGCCTTTTGGGAGAAGCTGGTGGGGAGAGAAATGCCGGATCAGCTCCCGCCTTTTCTCCTCCGCTGCCTGGCTTCTCCCAAAGGGCTGCCCCAATAGGGCTGGAAGCCCAGGAGACCTAAGAGGCTAGGAGTGAGGGAAGTGCCGAAGGAAAGGTCTCCTCCACCTCCCACCTCCCCGGAGAGCACAGGCAGGCTTCCTTCTCGGCTGCTTCGCCAGACGGCTCCATCTCGAGCTTCGCCTGCCTTCCAGGGCGCACGGGAGAGCCAGCCCCGTCCAGAGTCTTTGCCTCCCTGTGTGGAGGAATTGGATCAGCGCCCTTTTCCTCCGGAGTTGCGGTGTCACTGCGGCATCGGGAGGCTGAACCTGGTCAGGGCGCTCTGGTCGCTCGCCGGCCTCGCCCTCCGCCTTGGCTGCAGCCGGGGGGGAGTGAGTGCCATCGGAGGAGGCTTTGGACTGGCAAGGTAGGGCGCTGCTTTTTAAAAACTCTTCAGGGTGGCTTGGGGGGGGTTTATGTTTCTGCTCTTTTACTTTTCTGGTGATTATTATTATTATTATTTTTGCAGTCCCAGTGTGGGACTTGCTCTGATGTTTATTTTGGGGTTTTGTTTTGTTTTGCACCCCTGCGCCTTCCGGTCTTCCTGTGTTTACTTGATTGTTTTTTTAACCCCAGTGCCTTCCGACGTGGCATGCTGTGTTCTTTTTATTTTGGGGTTTTTTCCTTCAGCTGGAACGGATTAATGGGTTCTCAGTGCATTCCTATGGGATATTTGGATTCTATTTACGAACGTTTCAATTTACAAACTTCCTTCCAGAACGGATTAAGTTTGTAAATCGAGGGTTGACTGTAGTACTTTTGTGTGACAAAAATATTTTAAAAGGCAGAACAAGTGATTGATTGATAAACTTTAATATCCCACCTAACGTAATGGGACCACTACTTTGGGCAGTTATACAGTATCAAATAAACCCATCCCAACTCCCATTCCAATACAATGAGTAAGAAAAATCCTCCAAACCATGGAACAAATCAAATAAAATGAAATGATGGTGACAACTTTTAGATGACAAAGGGTTGAAGGGTATTAGACTTATATGTACAAGACTTATCAGACCTTGCTAAGAATCTCCTATTTCTCATTTGCACTCTTTTAACTATTTGTTGTTTTTAAATTAAGACTTTGCTCCACTCATTTGCTATACTTCAACTATGAATGTCATTCTGTTATTCTTAGCTGTTTAGCCATCAGGATACTCATCACAGGACACATGCAGCTCATTCTTTCTGAACAAAATAACTCTTCAGATTTGCCACTCAAAGTGCCTTGTGATGCATAAAGAGATGGGCTGTGACATGTTATTCATGGACTTGTGCATTTTTGTACTCAGATTAAAGAGGCTTTTGTAAATATGAATCTATCTTGGAAAAGGATGGCTTATTAGGCAAGCTAGCTTCGTATAATGCAAAGCTACAATTGTGTGTCCTGGCTTTCCTCTGAAACTAAAGCTTCATGAATGTGTTTGCAGTCTTTGTTTAGCTGTCTCTTGTTTAGCTGCAGGTAAAATAACTAGAGTCTTTTAATTTGTTAGGAGAGAGAACTTGAAGCCAACAAGAAAGAAAAAGTAAAAGAAGCTCAGCTTGAGGCTGAAGTGAAGCTACTTAGGAAGGAGAACGAGGCACTTCGTCGACACATAGCCGTGCTCCAAGCTGAAGTATATGGGGCAAGACTTGCAGCCAAATACTTAGATAAAGAGCTAGCAGGAAGGTATGTTAAACAAAATGAAGTCAGTTATCTGCAGTGGAGTTGTGAATCAGAATTCCACTGTAGGAAATGAAGCATGCCTTTTTGGTATTTCTGAGGATCATATGGGTAAAATATGAGAGCTTTTGTCTATATAGCTCTGAATTGTTCTCGATAGTGGGAGTGATGGAGAAATATGACGATCATAATTCATTTAGGTTTCTCCAGGTGAATGGAACTGTATGGATTTTGTAGAAAAGTGGAAAATAAACACAGTGTTTAGATAGATAGATAGATAGATAGATAGATAGATAGATAGATAGATAGATAGATAGATAGATAGATAGATAGATAGATAGATAGATAGATAGATAGATAGATAGATAGATAGATAGATAGATAGAGAGATAGAGAGATAGAGAGATAGAGATAGATATAGATATAGATATATAGATATAATATTCATGTATCTAAATCTAGATATATAAATGTATATATATGTAATCTCCTTAGAGGACTGAGAGTGTGGGATGGAAAGGAAAGCATTGTTTAAAACATGTGTAGACATATTTTGGTATATCATGTTCTCTTTTTTACCACACAGGGTTCAGCAGATTCAATTGCTAGGTAGAGATATGAAAGGACCTGCTCATGATAAACTCTGGAACCAACTTGAGGCTGAAATCCACCTGCATCGGCACAAAACAGTGATCAGAGCATGTCGTGGTCGCAATGACCTAAAGCGACCCTTGCAGGCACCTCCAGGACATGTAAGTTTGTTGATCTTATCATTTGTCAACATACAGTTGGAGCCTTGCAGAAGTGTATTGGATGTATGTGTACATCTCTTTCCACTCAAGGTTCCTATTTCGTTTTGCTACAGAGCAGTTTGGCCAAAGGGCAATTCCTTTGTTTGTGGTAAGATCACAATAAGATGAGATGGATGGACAGTGTCATTGAAGCTACCAACATGAATTTGACCAAACTCCGGGAAGCAGTGGAAGACAGGAGGGCCTGGCATGCTCTGGTCCGTGGGGTCACGAAGAGTTGGACATGACTTAATGACTAAACAACAAAAACACAATAAGATAATGCAAAATCAATGTAAAACCTATATTTTCCACTTTGTTTGTCCCCAAGTGAACAGAAAGCTAAAGAACTGGCCTATGAAGTGGTTAAAGCTGTACATATTTGGAACTTCAGGACTAATTGTGGTTCTAGAGTGTAGAAAAGATGGACTTTGCTTAGTGACTTAGTGAAACTTAGGTAATGGTAAAGGTCTGCCTTGACAATTTGTCCAGTCGTGTCTGACTCTAGGGGGTGGTGCTCATCCCCGTTTCCAAGCCATAGAGCCAGCATTTGTCTGTAGACAGTTTCTGTGGTCATGTGGCCAGTGTGACTAGACATGGAATTCTGTTACCTTCCCACCGTAGTGGTACCTATTTATCTACTCGCATTTACATACTTTCGAACGGATAGGTTGGCAGGAGCTGGGAGTAGTGATGGGAGCTCACTCCATTGTGTGAATTTGAACTGCTGGTCTTATGACCTTGCAGCCCAGAGGCTTTGCAGTTTAACCGCAGGTTAGTGAAACTTACCCAGCACAAAAATGCAAAATAATATTTATCCACTGCTAGCATCCTGAGATGTTCATAATAAATGCCATGTTTTCAGAATAGTTCCCTTTCAGTATCTGTGTATTTTATAGGCATGAGAATGTTAGTCAGGCGTTTTCTTTGTCACATTTTTGTGTGCAACATACGTACCAATTACCCTTATTTATAATAGAAGTGATGCTGTATCTTGCCTTCAAGGAACTATGGATAGTACAAATGTTCTTCCCCATTGTATGCTCTTCACAAAAGTCCTTCATGTATAAGGCATGACATTGTTCACATCAAATTTATTTGTAACCACCTGTACCTGAAACTGGCCCCCTGTAGTGACTTAGAAAACTTCCAGTTAAAATATAGTTGTGGGACTCAGACTAGGATAGGAGAGATGGGAGGGGACTGACTCCAGACCCTAATCCTCTTCCAAAGAGTGTGGCCGGGAACCAACCCCTTATCCCTGAGCCCTTGCTGATGTTGTAGGAAAAGTTTTCCTTGCTTGATTTCTTAGGTCTGCTTATCTTTAAAGCCCTGCTAGCTATTACACTACAAAGCATTGCTAATAGCATAATAGCTATAGGCTTTGGATAGCATTAAGATTCACATATCTACATAGAAAACAGGCAATTTCCTCATTTTTAAAAATGGTGTCAGCATCTTGTATCTTTTGCTTGTAATCATGGTACAATGATGCCTCGCAAGACGAATGCCTCACACAACGAAAAACTCGCAAGACGAAAGCGTTTTGTGATTTTTTTGGTGACTTGCAAGGTGAATTTTTCTATGGCTGTGCTTCACAAGACAATTCCCCCCCCCCTTTTTGGTTTGTTTAAAATTGCACAACCGCTAGTACCACCTAGAGCCGCCTACAGTGGTTGTATTGACCATATAGGCGGGGTACAAATAAAATAAAATAAATAAATAAAATACCACGCTTCACAAGACGAAATTTTCGCAATACGACATGACTCGTGGAACGAATTAATTTCGTCTTGCGAGGCATCACTGTAATTAGAGAAGTACTTTCTAAACTCTTAAGAACAGACTTGGGTGGATGGACAAGAGCGTCAAGCCAAAAGAAGAGATGTGGCAATAATGTAATAGTAAGTCTTGCTTTCCTGTGATACTTCTGGCAATCTTGCAAAATCTTTTTTTCATAATTGTGCATAATTTTTAAAAACTAGAATCCAGATTCCCTAAAGAAGACCCAAGGTGTTGGTCCAATCCGAAAAGTACTCTTGGTTAAAGAAGATCATGAAGGACTGGGCATTTCAATTACCGTAATATTTGAATTTTTTTCTCCTATTTCTTGTCTTAGGATTCAGTATATGTTCACATTACATTTTCTTCATTATTTCTTGTTTATCACATTGTGCCACATTAACTTTGTATACTTGCAAAAACCACTAGAAAACCTTGAATTATTTTCATTGTACTTCTGTACATAATACTTCATTGTTACCACTCTACAAAAGGGTGAAATACATAAAATAGCAAATGTTTTTTTCATAGTGTTTGCTTGGTTGTAATTAATTTGCATCCTTTTAAAAGGTGATGTGAGAAATATATTCTCTGCATGCATGTGATAAAGTTATGTGGTAGAATTTTCTGAAAATTTTGAATCCTCTAACTTGTTGAATGTTGCTATGATAGGGTGGAAAGGAACATGGCGTTCCCATCTTAATCTCTGAAATTCACCCTGGTCAGCCTGCTGACCGTTGTGGAGGTCTGCACGTTGGAGATGCCATCCTGGCAGTAAATGGAGTTAATTTGAGGGATGCCAAACATAAAGAAGCAGTCACCATTCTTTCCCAGCAGGTAATTTTTTTGTATCCATTAATATTGGACTGGTTAGTATGCATGTGTGCATTCAATGACTTTTTCTTCCTTTGAGGTAATTCTCCAAAGTATTTTTTTTAACATTGATTTACAGGTCAGGATCCTGTTGCAGGTATTTGCATGTTCAAAGACACTAATGCAACAATTACTGCTTTCTGGTGAACTGTCCTTTGTGCATTCACTTACCTGATTTTGCTACCAATGTTGAATTGGTCACATAAAAAGCCTGCCAGAAGGGGGAAATGGCGATGTTTTTTTAATTCACTTTTCTTTGAGAGGTTGACCCAGCATTTGAAAGGCCTCATTTCCAGATGCCTTCTTGTGTCAGAAATTCTGAGAGAATATGCACGATAGAGACTGTGTAACATCCCTTGCCATGGGATTCAAGTTTTTTTTAAGGGAGGAGGTGTTCTATGAACTTTTGTTACTTTACTGTTACCCATCTCGGTGTAAATAATGTTGGATTTTACAGTACACATAAGGGTAGTGGCACAAGTGATATACACTAATTTTCGGGTGTCCATCATATGTGCATGCACAATTGATTGCATAACCAGTTGTGTGACACAGAGCACATGAAAAATTTGAAGACCAGTTGTGTGATTAGCCTTACCTTCCCAGTAAAACTCAATAGAATTCTCACCTTTGTAAAACATATATTCTTGTATTTAGACTAAACATTTCTATTTCATATGGGTTTTTGTGGAACCAATTTCATCAGATGCATGGAATGTTGTCTCAGTTGGGAGATTCTTACACACATGGAAATTTGGAGGACTGAAAATTCAGAATAAATCAACAGGCAATGGTTTAATAGTGGTCCATTAATAGTTATGAAGCGGTGTCACAAGACTTTATTATAGTTAATGTTAGCTTTTGCTGGTACCTTACAGGTCACCAGGAATATTTATAAATACCTGAAGCTACATTATGTGCATCTGATGAAGTGGGCTGCTGTTCACAAGTAAATAAAAAATTGTTCAGGTTCCATGAGACTCTTTGTTGTTTTACTACAACATTCCTTCTTCTCAAAACATGTCACATTGCTTGTTATTTTCCAACTTCAGCAAAAGAGAAGCTGTGGAAGAGGTGAATGAGCTTCAAAATGACAGATGAGCATCATGTTCTTCTGTTGGTGAACTGCTTCCTCCAAGCTTTGTGGGCTTCCTTGTTCCTGCTGAGCTTGCTCACTATAATTGCCAATGAAGCCCCTGACTTGAGAATTTATGGCAGTTGCCTAGGTGCTTGTTAAATTGTACTGTATTATCATGTTATATGGATTATTCTGATCACATTGCTTTGCTTGTCAAGCTGGAATTAAGATGATCTTCATTCTTTTGTTTCAGAGAGGAGAAATTGAATTTGAAGTTGTATATGTTGCTCCAGAAGTAGACTCAGATGATGAAAATGTAGAATATGAAGATGAGAGTGGGCATCGTTATCGTTTGTATCTTGATGAATTGGAGGAAGGAGGAAACTCTGCTTCTTGTCGAAAAGATGGAAGTGGAGATGTCAAGCCTTTGCAGGGTAATGCCGTTTATAGCATACATTTAAGGGTTTTTTTTAAATAAATGCTTTTATAATTCAGTTTAGTTAACTGCTGCCATTTTCACATACATTTCTGAGCAAATGTTACATAGTGCCCTCCATTAGGGTTTTCTGAATTGTGCCAGTAGTTTTGCCACCTCAAGCCCAAAGTTAAGCGTTTGTATCCTTGGTAAATATTATGATTCAGATGTTTAGGACCAGGATGTCAGTGACCATTTTTCTTTTGCTGCTCTATCATGGTATTCACATGCTTTCCTGTAGTTTCAACAGGCACATTCTGTCTTGATTTTGCGCCCCCCCTTTGACAAATGGTGTGCTTGTCTGCTTTATTATGTACTGCACTTGTTCTCTCTTCTTGATGTGTCACTTGTGTTGTGAATAACAACTAGAGGTTGGCATGAACTTCAGTTCAGAGGTTCACGCCAGTTTGTATGTGTGACAAGAGTTGTGCATTCCTTCCTTCACCTTACCCAGCCAACAACCCACACATTAGTCAGAGTGCACTCCTCTCTTCCTCTTCTTAGGCTGTTTGACCAGTCCCTGGCAAGAGCACGTGTTTGCCTATCCTGCCTCCTTGTCTGAGTGGGCGACCAGCCAAGAAGGTGGGACACAGATGCCCATGCTCCTGTCGGAGACTGGTCGAACTGCTGAAGAGGGCCTTCTCGGCTGCTGCCCCCAGACTATGGAATGCCCTCCCGACTGAAATTCGTCTGGCGCCAGCGTTGATGACATTTCGGCGCCAGGTCAAAACCTTCCTGTTCCAGAAGGCTTTTAATTGAAATAATATCAACTGTGGGTCCTGATGGCAATTTTAATTGTATTTTAATTGGATTTTAATCATTTTATCTCTCAATGTATTGAATTTTAATTGTTGTAAGCTGCCCAGAGACCTCTGGGTAGAGTGGGCGGCATATAAATTAATTAAATAAATAAATAAAATAAAATAAATGGGAGGAGGAGATGAGCGCCTGCCGGCTCGTGAGTCAGGGATCTGGCTTAACTACTATGTGGTGGTGCACATATGAACCGGTATGGACTTCCAAATCGAGGTTTGTGCCCATCTCGAATAACGTTCAAGATAGCTCAATGTTACCTAAGCTGATAGCAAAAATGCTGACTTTCTCTCCAGCCCTTGGCACCTCTCACCCTCATGCCATGGGACTGCTTCTGTGCTGTATCAGTGCCCTTTTGCTTTTCTGGTTAGGATTGTCTAGTTTGCATGGAGCTTCACAAAAATCATTTCAAAAGTCTTGCTAGGGAGGTAGTGAGAAAACATGTCTGTTGCTACACCCTTAGCACCCTTCACCCCATATAGATGGGGTTCTCACATATTTTTCTTTGTAAGCAGATACGTGATATGAGCCTGTTTGCAAATTTTAAGATTCTACTGTGGGTTAAACACTTTTTTTCCTCCTTTGCAGTGTTTGATAAGAAAGCAAGTATTGATGGTCATGAAAATGGAGATCTAGGAAATTCTGTGGAAACTGAAGAGACTGTATCTAAACTAGCACATTCTGCTGAGAGCTTAGCTTAAAATCCCAACCTCCCAATTCATCAGTGGGATCAATCTTTTCCACAAAATGAGTTGTGTAGACTGTTTTGTTCCATGGTATAACTGTCATAGAGAGATGCAAAGAAGGACTGCTAAAAGGTAAAAGGAAGCTGTGTTAGTATTGCCTGGAAAAATAACCCTAATCTTTTGGTTACCTCAGGGCTTCATTATGAGCAACTCTAAATGTGTAAATTTCCCACTTTTCTAAGATATTGCATGTCAGGCGAATTTCCATGAACTGTAAACACCAAAGCATGTTGTTTCCAAATGATTTTCTTTTCTTTAACTTTGGATGATGTTTGTGATGCAAGGTCCAGAATGACAGTGAAGAACATGAACACTTGATTCCTCTGACAAATAGCAGCATCAAAGCATCCCATTCGTTTGCTAGTGAAATAGCCTTCAAATATCATATGGAAAGGGGGAGGGGAGCTGTTCAGTAATGTATGCCTACCTAGCTAGTTGTTTTAAAATACACTTTGCAAAAAAGGTGAACAGCAAAAAGTCATTTCAGATTTTCACAGAAGGCAGTAAGTGTTTTGTATTAAACATCATACATATGCAACGTGTTTAGTAAAAATTGTGAGTTAAATCTCTGGATTGGGTCTTTGTAATCTATTAAGGAGATGCGTGTCTCATATATCTCCTTTAATTTTATTGCCAATCAATGCTGGATTTGATGTATTCTCCAGGAATATTGAAAAAAGAATACTTAATTTTTAAATGCAACAATAAGTGTAAAATTAGCTGCTGGAATTAAGTCTGCCCTCAAGTGTTGTATCAGCTTAACATACAGTTGGTATGATTGGGTGTGTACCATTTTGTCCAAGCTGAGGTATGTTACATTCTAATACCTGTCTTTCCCATTGCACAGTGCATTAGTGCTGTCATATGTAATGTTGTTTTAAAGAGCTTAGTGGACTTGGACTTCAGAAAGTCTGCAAACATGGGGCTCATGCTAAGTCTGGTAGCATTGGAGCTCCTCATCTGGCTTTTCCACCTGTGGGTGACTGGAAAAGTTGCTGGCGTTGAAGTATAAATGCCTTTTTGAATAAATTCTTAGTGGTAATTCACAGGGAATATTCTTCATAAGCACTTATAAAGGCACTTTTTTTTTTTACTTCTCCCATAACTTTTCCAGCATGATAAGATGGGGGAAGGGCCCTACTGGAAATGATGACTACTGGACATTCTTTTTAAAGCTTATACCAGTTTGCAGGAAGGGGTTGTGCCGGCTTCTGCCTTTCATTAAAAAGCGAGGGCTCGGAAGTTGGGAGATTCTTTTAACCCTGGAGGGTTTCCACACAGGCCAGAGCACTGGTTTCTGGTTCTGGCTTTCTTGGAGAGCTCACAGGACTTGAGGACTTTCTTCTTCAGGCCTATTGCTTTTTTCTATGAGCAGAATGATGACAGATGGGCCAAGAGGAAGATGCCCCTGTTTGGATTGTGTGGGTTTAGCCCTCAAAAAGAATATCTGAAGATGGTCATTGTGTATCCTGAATCCATGGCTAAATAGCTATCCAACAGTTTCATCACAAGATTAATCCTCCCACTATTTCACCTACTTTTTGAAAAAAACTGACAGCACAATTTACTGGTTTAAAACTCCTGCCAGTGGCACTAATTGTATGCGATGCCAGTTGCCTGTAGGGTCTAGTCTTATCATTAACAGAGAACTACTAGTTTCTCGGAACAAGAATGTAATGACATAGTGCTATCATCTGCTAGGAACCTATTAAGACCTTTGGCAGTCCCTGCAGTTAGAGCCATTGTGGGAGAAATTCTCCAGCTATAATTGTGGGGCAGCAGTTATTCATTCCAGCCATAAATGTAATTCCTGCCTTGCTGTCAGTGACTCATACATTGCTATATTAAAAGGGCCATAAGACTTGGCCTTAAATGAATGAGAAACAGTTGCATTCAGTATAGGACTGTGCAGAATCAGGCACCAAATGTGTTAAAACTACAATGGTCCTAGTACTTATAAGATATTCTTAAAGAATCCTAAATATTGTGAAATAGTTATACATTTGTGGGCCCAAGGCATTTTTGAATGCATTGACGCTGAGATGGTGGTCTTGGATAAGTTCATCTACTGCTTTGTGTATGTGTGTGTGTATGTGCGTGTGTGTATAAGTAAGTATATACACACATATACACACATACATGTATCTTACTAGAATGCACCATTTCCATATGCAGCAGTTTAAGAACATGTGATATCATTTATTATTATTACAGGATAAAGCATGAAATGCCTGCTCTCCATTCACTGCGAGGCAGGGCATCAACCTATAATATGTAAAGATGTATTTTGAGAGTGGAAATAATGTAAAATGAAACTTTGTGTTTTTTTCTATAGAATGTATATTTGGAGAGAGTAAAAAGCCTTTATTGTATTGTCAGTTAACCTAATGTTTAATGTTTAAAATGTTGTGTTGTAGAGCACAGTTAAACTTGTCTCATCTAGCTGCACTATATATATGTTTATAGAGAGATCTTTAAAATGTAAATACTTTATGCAGAGATTTTGCTATTTATAAATTCTTTTAACTGTTGCTCATAAAATAATTTTTGTGTGTCATTAGACTCACTTGCTCTTGGAACTGTTATTTCATTTGCAATACATTTTTATACATGCTTCTTTAATATTGTATATTAAAGTAATCTTAACCATGGAATTGTCTCTAAAGATTTGAATGAAGTAGTGACACACCAGAAAGGACATGTTTTCTGTGGCTCAGAAAGGTTTTTGTTTTTGTCTGCCACCTGAAGCCATTAAGTATGTACTATCCTCCAATATACAGTATCTTGAAAAAAACATTCATTGTGTACTATGCTTTCCCAGCAAGAAAACAATTGCTGTATGTTGGGCTTTGATAGAGGAAACAGCATGAACTCTGCTGGGCTTAAGGGGCCAGGGAGGTGGGGCACACAGAAGCACTGCTGTTACTGTCCCTGTCTGTCTTCAGCTCAGGCAAATGCATTTTGATGCTTGCTTCAGACTTAGGTCCTGAATGTGCGCATGTCTGAAGTGCAGTCCAGGCTCATGAGGAGATCCTGTATGCTTGGGTGCTCATCCCCTTCCCCAGTGTAAGTGCTGCCTTGCCTGCTCATGCTCCTGGATGGATCTCTGGAGTGATAACTGAAATACTGCTGTCATAGAAGGACACTACTCTTGTACTGTCCTCTTCATGTGGAGAAGAGATTATCAAAGTACCTTTACCACCACCTTTAGAATGAACTCTTCCATTGGTCTCTCTAGCTGGTGTTCATTCTCAGCTCGTTGAATTTTATTCTGTTCAAGGAAAGATTCAAGTCTTGATTGGAACAGTACTCCACAGAGTCTGCATATACATTAAATGTAAGAGAACATCCCCCAGAAGCTTGTTCTCCTTCATGTTCTCTAAGCCCTACTTGCTTGTTACTAAAGGTGATGCTGTGAACATGCTTAAAGGGGAGGGCCTGTTCCCACCTCCGCTGTGATTTTCATGTTTTCCATGCCAAGCATGAAAATTATAGGGGTTCCTGATCATGGATAAGCTCTAAGAATGTTTAGACCTCTTGCTTGCCTGTTGAACCTGCGTGCAGTTAGCAGGACTCGGCACTGGCAGTATAAAAAACATGACAACACAAAGAGTGTGGTTTGGCATTCCCCTCTGAATTTGGTAGCAACAGCAACTTCCTTAATGCCTGAATAAAACTTCACTGTTCTGCCTCAAGTGAAGGATGCAAAAGTCAGTTTCACCTGCATTGCATTTATACAACGTCACTGTTTATTAAAAACAAGCTTTTATTCAGTCCTTTTTATCGGTACTTTTTTTCCCCTCTGTGGGACAGTGTTGCTACAAGCAAGTCCTTGAAGCTGTCATCAGCACTGACAAAGAGGATAGAAAGGCTCTCTCCTAAATGCATATATCTATGATTTTTCTGGTCAGGGGAGCTCAAAACTTTCACAGTTTTGTATTGGTGCTATTGTGAATAGCTATGATTGCATTGGCACTTGATCTGCACTTGATCCACATGGGACTGTCAGACTGGCAGTGGTCAAATATTTGTCTTGTGGGGTATGAATCCATATCCTCTCTACTCACCCCATTCTTTTACCAGTAGCTAAAATATTACTCCTGATGCTTCTAAGGATTGGATGAGTTAGAGAAGTTTCCAAAAGAAGTGAATATGACTTCATGCATTAATTTTTTATAATTTCTCATCCAACTGTATCTGTATTTTGCATTTTCAGCATTCAGCAGTGTGTTATTTAGCAACCATTAAACCATCTGGACACCTTGCAGCTTTGAAAGGTAACAAGCTATGGTGGTAACTAAGATGCTTGCAGTGCCGGAAAATTAGACTTCACATGATTTAAATCAACAGCTGAATCTTGATGAAACATGAGGCTGAACATATGGTTGGCCTATGTAATATCTATATTTGTTGTACAATCTTTGCAAGTACTTTTTGGTGTTATTTACACATATATGTGATGCAAAAATGTTGAAACATACTCCATTCATGCTGAGCCTGATTTTTTTTTTATTAGCCTGTAACTAAAACTAGTTGTAATATGTAGTTTAAGCCATTCATTGACTGGAAACATTTCAGAATGTCTTTTTCTTTATAAGCAAGTTGCACAGTAATGCACTAAGCATACATTTGTAAATTAAACCTCTTTATTTTGGTTGAAATCCTTAAGCCCTTAACTGTTCCTGAAGGGCATCTAACATCATTATGCGTCTTGGTCCTATGTACTGAGAAAGCAAAATGGCTGGTCTGTTGGTCTACAGCAAAGTGGGCCAAGAAAGTGTTAACAACATGGTTACAAGTACAGCTTCCAGGTCTGGATTCAAGCAAATGGGATGCAACATCCCTGTACAGGTATTGCTATCTCATCTGCGTTCTTGAAAGTCACAGAATCATTGCTAGTCTGACTCCTAAGAGGGCCACTTGGAGAAGAGCATCTCCCTTTGTTACCTGAGTCAGCTGCTTTCTACCATCTCACCCTGTGTATAAAATAATTTGAGATTATTAATTTTTTTGACTGCAGCTATCCTAATCCCCCAGCCACCATGGGCATGTTTTGGAAATAGCTCCAGCGTGGACTGTGTAAAGTCTGCTTTGTGTCTTTTGTTTGTCACTGACTGAGGGGACTGTACAGTCAGACAACATGGATACAGCTTTGAGTTCACAGGGGGAATACCAAAGGCCAGAAATGTATAACTTTCCACTTCTGAGAGGGTTTTACCTGTTCATTGTCTGAAGCAACCCTCTGGCATTATTTCTGTAAACACATGCGGACAGTAAGGATTTAAAATCCAGCCTTCTCTGTCTCCCTTCCCCATCCCCCCACCCCACCTAACAGACAGTGTTCTCTTGAAAGCTTGCAATTGTTTGGTGCACTTGCACATGTTTTGTGCCTTCCAGATGGCCTAATACAGTTAACTTTATTATGAATTTCGGAATTTCTTTTGTGCCAACCCAACTATCCCAGTTTTTGTTTTGCAATACTTGGGCTTTCACAAGGATCTGAATAAAAGCTGGGCCATACTTTGATACTTTGAATCTGATTGCTATCCACCTGTGTCTCTGCCCTTGGTATGGCCTAATATGACCATGTCTGTTTGATGCCAATGTTTCTGTTTAGACAACAGTACTTTTTATGAATAGTACTCATCTAGAACTGCCACTATCTCTCAAGGCTCCCTGAGGTCTGATGGACTACACTATTTGTGCACTGCCTCTAGGTGTGCACTGAAGCACATTATGAATGAGTGCTGGGTGCAAAATGGGTTCCCCCCTCCCCCAGACTTGCAAGCATTTCCATTGTATGCAGACTCAAAATCTGAAATAATGAACAGCTTGGGTATGTTCTTCAAGAATGGCCAGAAGGGGGCAGCAAATGTTAACATGCTTCCTTCACTGAAAAACGACAGCATGAATAGCTTGCCGGTCCCGCAGGATCCAAGATGCACCTCAAATTCTTATGTCCTTGAAACACATTTTATGATAGCCAGAAGACCACCTGGAGTAGCACCTAATGCAGCAGGAGAAGCCACAGTCAGAAGTGAAAACAGGGAAGAATCCATTTGTGTGTGGTGGAAAATACGTTTGGTATACACAGACATGGTTCTTTGCATTGAGGCTTGATTATGTCCATAGTACATACTATACATCTTTCATTATCTATACATGCAGGAAGGTTGTGGCAAAATCTGAATTATTATTGTGAGATCTGTGCATGCTTTCTGTGTAGGGAAGGCTTAATATTTCAGTTCTTGGAAGGTTGTTACAAATAAGTACATTAATTCAAGATTTATTTATTTATTTTTACATTTGTAGTACTGTGAGGTTGGGAGTACCTCCAAAGGCAGTCACTCCACAGAGTGTGCCCTCTGTCTCTACCATCAGAAAGACTGAGAAAGAGTTGGCAAACATTGTGGGAGAGTTGCAGGAGCAGCATTTAGAAGCACAAACACTAGAGGATGTCATTTTGGCAGGAAAGGAAAAAAGATATAAAAGAAGGGGAAGAGAGGAGAGAGGACAGAAGAGAGGGAACAAAAGTAGAAGAGGAAGAAGTTTGTTGGGTGCAGGAGGAAAGATTAGAAAAGGAAGATCTAGTGGAAATACCCTGTTTCCCCGATAAGACAGGGGCTTATATTAAATTTTGCTCCAAAAAACCTCAGTAGGCTTTTGTTCAGGGGATTTTTTTCCATGTACAGCAATCTACATGCATTCAAATACAGTCATGTAATCTTCTGGTTTCTGCACAATGGTGGAGGACGGGGTTTCACTTAACTAGGGCTTAGTTTTGGAGTAGGACTTATATTACGAGCATCCTGAAAAATCATACTAGGGCTTATTTTCAGGTTAGGTCTTTTTTTTCAGGGAAACAGGGTAATAGAAGACCTCTGGACAGGGGAATGGGTAGAATTCAAGGTCCCAAGAGAGTATGCAGAGAAAGAGTGGAAAAGGCAAATATGTAGAAAGCCACCTTATTGGGGCAAGACTGAAGAAAGAAAGTGGCAAAAGGAGAATAAAGCCTGGCAACAAAGAGAGGCTTGAAGGAGAGAACAGAGATGTACAGAGAACGCCGGGAAACCCTGTGGGGCCAGTCTGTTCCGACCGATATTGAGGCAGAATC